AGGCGGGCGCCGGCCCTCAGCGGTGCGGCCCCGGGCCTCGCGCCTCCCTTTGTTCCTACCCCCGAGGAGCTTCCTTCGCGGAGCGGGTCCGCTGGGGAGGGGGGCAGCCGGGTCCTGCCGCTCCCCGCAGTGTGAGGGGCCCCGGGAATGGGCCGGTAGCGAGGTCCCGCGCTGCACCCAAGAGCCCCCCTCCCTTGGCGGCCCTGTTGGACCGGGCCTGGGGAGCTCCTCCTCTTCCACTGGGGCATTGGTAAGTTTGGATGGCTGCGAAAACGCCAACAGTTAAGGCAAACGGAGCCTGATGCTGCGGTTGAAGCCAGCCCCTCCCCCTTCCCCGGCCCTAAAGCTGCCAGCAGGGCTGAAAGGCCCAGGCGCAGTGGGTGTTTTCGGGTGAACGCTTTTATTGGGCCAACTGCATCTTTGGGATGCAAGACAGCCTGGCCTCCCTCACCAGCGCCACCGATCAGAGACGGGAAAAGTGGGATTTGCGTCGACCGCTGGGTTGTCCTAGAGGTCATGATCTGGCGGGGGAAGAATTTACTGCATGTTGTTTTGCATTAAATTTGGGATGCACAGTAAGGCATGCAGTACCTAATCTGACTAGAATTTCTGTCTGCCTTGATATCCTTTCATCCCAAAATGGGTAATTGCAAGCGTCATAACACTTCCAAACCGCTAAAGCATGCAGCTTCCCAGGTTCTGCTTGTTGTGGCAGTAATTACACATTTTGATTTTTCAGGTGGAAAGGTAGGAAGAGTTTAAAGCCTTTTGAGGTTGTATCTCTGCAGGGAACTTGTGACAGATGCATCTTGTTTTCAAAAGGAGTATGGAATAACCTAAAACTAACTTGAAGAAAGTGCTCTGATAGGCTTGTGGGAAAGGAGAAACATGCATATCTAGCTTCAACAATCATAAGTGTACTGGGAGTGAAGTTTAATTCTTTCAGCCTCAGGTTTCATTTTCTCCTGAGAATCTGTTATTCTGCCTAAAATCAATCAAAAGCAAGTAGTTTTGTAGGACTCCTGATCAACTGATGGTTTAACTGTACAATCATGCTTTCCCCTATATTATAAACACAAAATTGAAGCTGGTGTGATTAGCGCATTGTAACTCCTGGGAGAACGTCTGAGTTTCCCATGCAAAAAGTGGAAATTCTTGTCTTCAAGAAATTGCTTGGCTGGCAAAAGAAAGAAGAAAGTAAAAGCTTCTTGACCAGGAGGATCCTATTGCTTATTGTCATTTATATAGCGTGGTAAGATTTGACTTGATCATTGATGAGGGAATTTTATGTGAAATGGTGCTCGGTAATTCCTGTAACTCATAACCGTGGTGTCTCACATGCTTAAGTTTTATAGTGAGCACAAATAATCTTATTTCATTCTTATACAAAACAAAATGGTAGCCAAATGACTAATTGAGTACGTAGTACTCTGAGTGTTTATCCGTAATTCTAAAACGTGCTCCAGGCTCATTCC